TTTTTTCTGGAGTGTGACACAAATGGTGAACATGATACTGCCAAATCAATCAAGAACCAGGATACGGCTTGGATACGCTGAAACTTTGTAAATCGTCCTCTTTTCAATTGTAGACTTTATTCCAGTGTAATAAAGGTATACCTACATGTACCATGAAAAATTGTATCGCATCACTTTGGAAATTGACGCTAAATACATGTACTAAATACTAAACAAGCGCACATATCGTATTCATTTACAGCATCGTATTTTAAAACAATGACTCGTGGAATAGCAAAGAAACTGTTAAGTACGTATTTCACACATTACCGAGGACCGCGGTTGTGACCGGTACAGCGGTAGAGGCCTCTAATTATAAGCAGTCCGCGGCTCCCCCCGGCGTTCTGCGGTACACCGCGGTAATGACCGCGGTGCACCGCCCGTTTGATTTCCTACTCTTCCCTAAGTGACAACACAATGCTACCAGTATTATCAGCACCTGTGTACTCACCTCTACATGAATAGTTGCAGTATGAATGTACAGATTCATTCACACCAGCAGGTGATACAATATACAGAGCCTGGCCACCAAAATATTATTTTAACACATCTACTGGTACATAATTCTCTACAACAATCTCTGAAATTTCTATTTTTGACTTGCCAACATGAAGTAATCCATAAATAAAACGTTGCCTTATTAATATGACAAGGAAACACGTTAGAATTTCATTATTCCAAAATTGTGGAACTTCATAGCTTTACTGAATAATGACGGTATTTAACAGTCTTACTTCAGTTAGAACAATATTTACATTTAAAATTGCATTCTCATTTTACTGTTTATTATATAATGTGTAAATTTGAAATTCGTAGAATAGAGAGATCATATTTGCTATTTACATGTTATGGGATTTGGCACATGCCGAAATTTTTATTTCTTAGTGTTTGCAGCAAGATTACAGCAGTTGCGTTGACATTAGTCCGGCAACTCTGCTTGTGCCGAAATCGCGGCCTCATTTGATCCAAAAATGGAAAAAGACGAGCATATGTTGTTAATAACAATTGCTATATAGTTGCATACAGCAATTATAGCTACACCTGCATCATCATGTCGTACTAGTATGAATCAGTACATCTTCTTATAAATTTACCGCAGAGGGCGTTCAGGCAGCAAATCTTGTAACATGTAGAGTTTCGGTCCAAGGCATCTACCGGGGAAGAGAACGTTTTTTACAGCATGTGCCGAACAGGTTTCTATCGTTCACACACACCCACACATTTCGGCATATGCAGACTATGTCCCGAGTCACGTGCCAAGATCTCTAACATGAATGCCACTATTATCTTTTCCTTTATATGCGTAATCACAGTCACTAAGAAAAAGTCCCACAAGACTCGTCTCCAATTTTAAGGCCAGTTCTTCCTAAACATCATGTATCAAATTCCTTTGGAACCTGCTATGATATGATTTACAGCTCATGTGTTGCGGGGTGTACCAGACTTGTATATATGTAGTGTAATCACTGTCTTGTGTGAAAGTTTCTATCCATAGGGTCTCCGTATCCCTCACTCAAAACCAAGTAAGTTAACACCACAAGCTGAAATTCCTCCTGTACTACCAAGATTGCTATTAAATTTAGAGCTGAAGAACAAACTGAGAAAATAATGTTGCATGTCCCCCTGTTTCCTTGTGTCTTTGTACAAACCAGCAAAAAAAACAAAAAAAAAACATAAATAAAATGTTGACATTAATTGTTTGTACTCTGACAGTCTTCAGTTAATTAGTTTTCAAATTCAATTAAAACTGGCTGACACTTGTATTAGTCATGTTTAGACTACACCAAGTATGGGCTAAGATTTAAGTTAATCTCATATTTGTGTATCAGCTATACCCAATTGCGTTTACACACTATAGGGTATAACAGGCCTTTTAAGCATGCATACTCAGTAAGCTTGAAAGTTAACATGTCAGTTCTATGGTTGAAAACATTAACATTGCAAATTCAGAAAGTGCAGATTGCAGAGTAAACGAAAAGTAATACAGTGTGTCATCATCAGTCGATTTATTCTCAAGAAAAATATGTCTGGATATGCTCGCATTGATTGTCACATAGTATACCGAAATGAATAGTTATAAATATAATAGTAAATCTTCCAAATGAACATTGAATACAATTGAATTTTGGGCACTTAGCCCGAGCTAAGTGTTCACGCACACTACGTTAGCTCATCATCAGCTAAGGATTATGAATGGGTCCTAAAAACAGATTTAGCTCACACTTACTGTTACATAGTCAGTACTAAGTGTTCGTGCATGTTTTCATAGCATGGACGAAAGTTTTAGACCTCTTAGCCTGTGCATGGAACTATAAACCCCAGGAAGAACAACGAAACTAAGAGGATTAAAAAAACCTTTGTCTTAGTTTATCTTACAGTGCTTTCGCTTTTGTTTCCACAACATTAGTCATACTCCATGTTAGTTGATGCCGATACGCCCCGTATCAACCGCTTTGCTGGAAACGGAAAACGTGGAAAAAAAATGTCATATCTGCGCAGTAAAATATTTCGTTCACTACGTATGCGCAAACAAGTCGGTCTGCAGGGTGACCTTCAGTGTACCGGAAATCATGCAACGGGTCGGAGTTTTAGCGAGTTTTCATAATTTTCAATGTCGTTTTTAGATTACTTCTTGTTTTTTTCAACCCTCGAAAAAATAAGGTTGCGAAAGTTTGCGAAACATGGGGTTTGGTATGCTGTTTGTTGTCGAGATATCCCTATTTATTCCGCGTTTCCCTTCGATCGCCAGAAGTGGCAATGTGTTTTTTTTCGTGTTGAATGTCGCTCATTTATCAGTGTTTTTGTCTTCGAGCCATTGTTTTTTTATGCTATAACCGAAAAAACTCGATCACGTGATCTCCCGAAGTCGCCCGATTGACTCTGAAAATGACCGATAGTCGGAGATAAACATTCATTTGCGTAAATCGGCTTATTTTTTAATGCGACGAAATAAACAGTCAAAATAAACATTCGACATCGCGGCAACTATCATAGTTCAACGGAAACGAGGTGGTTGTTCTTCCTGGGGTTTATAGTTCCATGGCCTGTGCAAGGAGCTATGCATGAACATAACTATATTGCATTAATGGGCATGGTTAAATTCTTTGTACATAAATTTGGAGACAAGTATGTCACCATGAGAACAAGAACTCAACATGTAACATACTGAATCATTGAGTGGGGATTCATCGTGGATAATGACGATAATGATGCTTTAGACTATCCACTATTAGGTGGCCAATACGAGTGACATCACAGTCGTGATCACTTGTACAATTTTCCATTGTTATTTTGAGTTACAAATGTTATGAATGTCTTTATTTTTTAAATTATAAATTATTTGTAAACAACAACCGTTACATGTTACTGTTGCTAGCTACTGGGTTATACTCCAGTACACTCTCTATTTCAAATAGCATTGCCTAGCAGCATCTGATTTGTGTACACATGAAAATCTGTTGAAAGAGAATGAAATAAAGGCACATGGACGTTTCTAAATACCCTGCAATACAACCATGCTTGAATACCTGCTGAATCAAACATATGGGTCATGGGTCACTGCTTGCACAGGTATCTGTTCCTACTCACACACAAACAGCAAAACAAAAGAATCCAACCAGGAAGTCATTTAGGAAGCAAAACAACAAAACATACCTTTAAGGTGTGCCATCATTTCAATGTTTTTTTTTGGTAATATTCATAAACTAAAATACTCTCAAACTTTTTTGTCAAATGAATATGTTGACATGTATTTATTCAAATTTACTGTAATTATAAATTTTGGAACGACTTTCTTAAGGCCACGCCTCCCACCCTTAACCTAAACCCTAACACCCCCAATGTCATTGTACATGCCCCTCCACACAACTATACGTGTCCAGAAGATGGGAATACATATACAATTAAAATAGGGGAGGGACAGCGGAGGGGAAAGTTTAGGATTAGAGTTAGAGGTGAGGAGGAGGGGGGACTAAGAAAGTCTTACCTAATTTTCAATGGAAATTGTAATTATAATTTAGACAATTTTATTTTTTCACTGATTGTTAAAATTACAGGCAATGAATGTATTCCTATCGATTCAATTTCTAAAATAAATTCTAAGTAAAAAAAAAGTATTCAAGAATAGTCTGAAAAAAGTACATTCATGAGAATTGAATTACTAAGCATTTTTTCTGTGTAAAAAAGTAACATTCACCAATAAATATTTGGTGAAAATATATATATATACAATATTATTATTATATATAGGTTGTAATAAATGAAAATTATCAAGCTAACAAAAATGTCACTGCTCTTAAAAAACAGAAGCTGACAGTTACATTGTGGAGCTGCTTGGCACTGGATAGTTTACAAAAACAAACATACACCCTTGTTGAGGGCAAACTATGGTATGTTATTGCATAAACATATCAGTAACAAGCTTGGACTGACACAGTAATTTGACAGATCTCAAGAAAAAAAAGTAAATGTATAAATCCGATGGCCTGTGATCAGTGTTATAACATTATAGTAAATTGGAAGAAAACTCAATATTTTAAAATGGTGTCAATCCTTTACACACCAAAGCTTAAAGGTCAACTTCAGAAACAACAATGATCAAGTTACTAATTACTGTTCTCAGTTGAAGAATTGTGTATCGTTTCAAAACAGACGCTAGATATTAACTTGACAATCACAAAACCAAGGAACATCTGTATAAATTGAGCTTACGTTGGCAAAATACCTGTAAAAATAGGTTTACTTCCGCTTCGGAGAAATCAAGCATATAAACTTGAATCGAACTTAGATTTAAGTGATCGTGGTCCAATAGCCACCAGTAACGGCCATTATAAATTAGTCAATTTGATTGTTATATCTATAATCACGTATTACGTAACTATGTTTGCATTGCAAGGACCGTAATCACGTAACGGCATTCTTATACTTACACGGGTTGTTCCAGGGTCATTCGCCTACTTGATAATAGGTTATTCAGTTCCCTACGTCTAAATTATATTTCGTATACAAGATTGATCAAGAAACGTTCAAGAATGCTAACGAATTACATGATTTTATTCACCGCAATACAATTTAGAGGAGTTTTTTTTCAGGAAGTTTTCTAAGTAATTCCAAAGAAACGTGTATACTGTCAGTACATGTATATCTCCCAGACTCTTTATGAACACGCCCAACAGCGAACCGATGCCCGAAAACGGGGATTCTAGTTTTTCCCTCCGATAAATATGTAATATATTACTGTTAAGCAAAGGGAACAATAAAAGAAAAATCGCAATTATGTCGACTGTTATAACAATGAAAATGCACAGAGCTAAAAGTCGTAATTAACCTACCTCGTTAGACCAGTACCAAACGCGGAAATCACGTTTTCATCAATATGGCGGAACTTGTAGATCCGGGCAGAATGACCTGATCACTAAATGAGGTGGATAAAAAACATCTCAAGAAATCGAAAGAGTGACTTTTCCAGTATTGTGGGGATTAATTTGTCTACACATTGCATTCTTTTTTCAAACTATAGCTGTAGATACCTTTTTATTTGAATAATTATTAACATTTACAGTGCACGACAATCGTACTATTTCCCATTCGCGGAATGATAATGGCAGAGATTGGGTGTTTTACGGAAGTTGGGTATGCGGTACACATATACGCACGCAGAACTTTGTAGCAGTTTTATTTCCTTTTTACACAAACATGCTAACCAAGCTCTGTTTCGCATATGACTTTGTATATACACATATATTTTTTGCCTAAGTCTGAAAATAATTATGAACGGCTTTCATGATGATTTAAATGCCAATAATAATACTGATGTCGCGATTCTGTCTTGGGATCTAAATGACATACGGCGAAGAATTTGTCCCTTTAACAATTACGGGGGGGGGGGGTAAATTTCGATTTAATGACTCTGCACGGGGACAGTTTTGAAAACAAAGGGAAAGGGAAAATTACCGAAAAATGTATTTATTAAAAAAATCAAAAGCATTTGGTCAAAATGAAATGTTGGAATTGTACACCCCACCAGAGTTTGTATGGTCAGCCCCTTAGTCAGCTTAATCAGAACCCACAAAGTATGATTCATTCAGTACTTACACTTTTAGTGACCTGTGTGTGAATCGACTGAGACCGCTAAAAAGATGACTCACACGCAAAGTACATCATCCATCAATTTGACAATGAACTGTAGTAAAGATACTGAATACTGAAAGCTTTGAATTCCTATTTATTTATTTATTTATTTATTTATTTATTTATTTATTTATTTATTTATTTATTTATTTATTTATTTATTTATTTATTTATTTATTTATTTATTTATTTATTTAAACAAGTCGTGTTGTTCTGGAGCGTACGTTTGTTTTTCTGTCTGCAATCGTTTATAGATGAATTTTAATGAAATTTTAATGAGCTTGGCCATTTTACAGCTTCACGTGGTGAGAGGGGGTCTAAGTGAACACGTGCTAACACGTCATATCGCCCATGCAGTAGCAAAACGCAAATTACTGAAACTGCCATATCATTAAAAATAGGTCCGTATCCATTTTTTTTTCAAAATGTAGTGTCAGACACATTGTTTAATTATTTCGATTTTGGCAAAACACGCAATGATCTTTTTTTCAAATTGAACAGTTTTTATACTTGTAGTCCCGCGTATTAATTCCGTAATTAACATACAGTGATATCACGTGTTTCTCAAAACTTAAAATAAACCGCTATTCATTTTTTATACATATGACTTTGTATGGCAGTACTATAAGCAGTCTATTCGCAAATATAAGCCCAAAAAATCGATATCTAAAGATTTTCTGTCACCTTAAAACGAATCCGTCACGGTGATTAAATCAAAAATGATTTTTCATGAATTTATAGCTTAAAAACAATAAGGATGGATCCTCATTAAATTTTATGAAGACGTTGCCTTTGAAAATGGTGATTGAATTGCGAAAAAAGGTGTGTATGAAGTTGTCATGGAAACAGTCATTTCATGAATGATTTTCATTGATTGTTAGTGACGTATTGTCATGAAATTTTCCGGACAGGTACACAAGAACCGACTAATCGCTTAGTACTACGGATAAACACATGGCTCGGTCATTTTGGACTAGATGTTTTGTAGGACAGTATTATTATAGTGAAGTTTACACGAAACCAGACGAAACGTGATACAATGAAACGGAAGAGTGAGGTTAAGCAAAAATCTGAAGATTTCTAAAAATGATGATTTGACGACGCAACGTGCACTTCTGTTCAGAAAGTGTCGTGTTCTGATAAAAGATGAGAAATGTCGTGCAGTCACGGTGTGAATCAACTACAGAGTTTGCGTTCGGAAAGGTGTCGATATAACCCTATTAACATCATGATTGATGAAGAAAACAGAACTTGAACAGTTTTTAACATTGCCATTAAGAGCAGCCATTGGAGTTGTGTATGATGAATTTCATTCGTCAACCTTTGACCTATACATATTTTTTTTATTATATATGTATTACTTCAGCGATTACGTGTTCGGTGTTTTTTTTTTCTTGTGTCACGGTGCTTATTATTTTTCTCAATTTGTCTTTTGTTCTTATTGGGCCTTGGAAAGCTGATGTGGAAACAATTAGTTATCACGTATTATGTTTGATGCTTACAATACCTATCAAATTAATGTACAACCACCATCCATTCTTGTATCTGTCCAGACTTTCAACGACGTCTTATTTTAATGAGCATTGTTGAGGGCGGACATTATAGCCATCGATGCAGGACTGGTCAATCAATTGCCGCTGAACTGGTTTGGAGATAAACTAAAAGACAAAGCGCAAACTTTGAGTCAAAGATTCGATCAATCAATCAACGATTATAATTAGTCAAATCAAATAAAATTAAATAAAATTTGTATTTGATCAACACAACTTCAATAAATATTACAACATAACCCATTTATTATCAAGTAATTATAGACACGGTCTTATATGCCCATCCTTGGGAAATGGAAAACATGCATGCACTTCTGTCGCAAATACAGGGTTAGCGAGAGAGTTATTTGATATACGTATCAGGGGGAAAATCTCTCTACTCTCGGGTTCTCCACACTTGCCAGGGGGGAAACTCGTCTCGTCTCTATATCTCGTCCCCTTGAGGTACGGGATCGGGAAAGTCACTTTAACTTTACAGTCAAATAAGGCACACACAACGAAATACATTTCAACTCTCGTCTTAGTCGATCTTTTGGAGCACTCTATAAGACACAGCGCCCTGGGGAAAAGTCCCCAAGACTCTCACAAGGCTGAACCAAGACTCGCCCAAGCCTGGACTGCCTCAAGGCTCGCCCCTGGACTGGACTCTCGACTCTCCAGGACTGCCCTCTCTCTACTGCGTCTATCGTGCTGTGCTCCCCAAGACCAACTCAAACTCTCTTTTTTCATTTTCAAAACTCTAACCAATTACAAAGCAGTAAAAAGACTCTAGGGCGTAACCTTCAATCATAAAGCCAATCACACTAAGTACTGAATACGTCATATCTTTTGATTAATCGTTCACTACATTAATAACTATGGATATAAAGTGTCAGAATGAGTAGTCTAAAAAGCGGCGGTTATCTGGTAATTAGTTCCAAATCACTGAGCCAAGTTCCGTCCAAAACTTCAAATAGACCTAAACGATGACAGACATAACACAGCAATTCAGCTAATAATCAGCTAATTAAGTCGGTCAACAGATACGCAAAAACAAATTCATGACATAGGTATCTCGAAGGCGTGCTATTACTATATGAAATCTTGTATATTTAGCGCCGAATAAACTGCACCATTCATTGCATTGATTGGTTGGCAAATAATTTACAGACAATGGCATATAAAAAAATTCCCTTGAGTAGAGAATATTCTTCGGCGATGAAAAAGATTTTCCAGTCACTGCAGACTAATGTACGGTATCGCAGCCGTAAATAATGCCGCTGTAAAAATATGCGTAATTTTGCTATAAACCCCGAATAACTACTAGTAATTCTGTGTATGGCTACAAAGCTACCCAAAGAAATATATAAACCTGTTGCAAAGGTAGAGCCCTCTTAGCATGATTTTGAAATAGTGTACTTTTTTTGCAAATTTGTTTCAAAGGATGTTTTTTTAAGGGATCTGGTCTCCCGGGCCGTGATTTTCACCAAAAGTTGGTAACTCGCATTCCCCTATATAAATAATACAAGTGATCCCCTGGCTTCCATTCAAACAACTCTGTTTGGTTTCTTCTGAAAACAATAACGATTCTGTGAACTGTCTTCCAGTCGCCCATTTACGTCACATTTACGTTATGGTGAAGTTTGTCGAAACTTTTTTTTTAAATATTATTTTAGGAAATAATTGCAAGTATTCAAATATGCATGTCAACTGTTCGGCCACATTCACATACAATATACCTGCCCTAAATGTAGCGCCCTCTAGCAGCGAGATAATAATGTGATGTCAAAATGACGTAATGTCGTACAAACACGACGTCGTTGGTCATTTAGAATATACCAAATTTTTCGCAAACATTATTTTTATTGACAACTACAAATACCTTCGTTGTGAGCGGCCTTCTATTTTACCCATTTACGTCACGGAACTTTTCATCGCTAGAGGGCGCGAATGAAAAGAACGATAAACCGGGAATAAATCATGCCCACGTGTTTCACACTTCGTATTGTCTAATACTTTTTCTTTTCAAAATACTAACAATTGAATTTGGCATAGTATTTTATGATTACGGTAATGCTTTATAATTTTATATTTTTTTTCTCGCTGTGAAGTCAAAAGCACTTAGTCGCCAAAGAACACATTTTACAGAAAAGCCACGCTTGAATAATGCATAAATGAATACGGTTTGAATGTTGACAAATTATGGAGCTATGTTGATTATTGACTTAGCCGATTATATTTAGGAGAATGGTTAGAAAGCTTTTATCTGCAATTTTTTCTCGTTTTTGTGTGTGCATATTAGCCACAATTACTATCATTTCCTTCAATGGGCTATTAACGGTTTGGAAATGAGGGACAGCCCAATTCAAGCATAAACGTATATTGAGAAGAACAGTTGTCTCGCCATATAGCCATACAAATTTTGTTGCAGCATACCAGAACATGTACATCACATGTTCACCCAAACATTCGAAAAATCAACTAAAAAATTCAATAAAATTTATTTTTACTTATCGACATATGCTAATTAAAGTCTGGTGCATTCTCAGTACCAGTAATGATATACATTTTCTAGATAAATATCAATCACAACAACAAATTAAAAAGAAGTATTGACTACTAAATTAAAGTCAAGGGGTCAAACAATTGAAATCATGGGCAGAGGGGTACTTGAAACAGTACAATTCTTTTCCACTGTGTGCTTGGCAGCACTTTCATTTTCCTTGTATTTTACTAACAGTTGCATGCATTTTTTTCCTCTTGGTATCCAGCATGCATTGTAGTCATTTTTTTTTTTTTTTTACACTTTATAATTGTTAATTTAATTCTACCAAAGTACAAAATTATAAATGCTTTTTCAGGATTACTATTTCACTGTAAGATTTTGGACAACACACGTTATGTGTTCTCATACAACATATATATAAAATTAAAAAACAGAGAAATAAAAGTACAAGCATATATACAGAGCAAAATTTAATACTAAAAAAACAGATAAGCTGCTCTGATTGGCTTCCTAACACCTCACAGTTGGGCCAATCAGACAGTAGCTTCACATCAACTCAAATATTAGTATTACAGTATAGACAGTTGATTGAGCAAGGGAATGTTTTACATCTTTCTACTCAATTACAACTGCTTTTTCAACATCACTTTTACATACGATAGCATCAAGATGCTGAAAGCAGCCGAGTCCACACAAATGTTTGCAACATATTCCAAGATATCTTGTGAAAATCAAACTTGGTATATGCAATACACTTTCATATGTCAAGTGCCACATAAAATATTTCCAATATTCTAAACAGGTGCATGGAAAAAGAACAATTTTAAAACCGGGTAATACAGAGGTAAAAATCACCTTTGTACTAAATGAACGCACAGAGTACACAGACAGCTGGAAAATAAATTTTTGGTCCATCGAAACGGTTTTCCAGCTATACACGTTTTATAAATTTAAGCCATATTGAATGCATTTACTTATTTGGCATCGCCAAAAGTAATTTCAAAATACTGTAATTTTCACTGGGTTTAAATTTCACTGATTTACCATTTCAGGCATATTCAGTGGGTTTTAAATTCACGGTTTTATCATTTAGATAATGTGTTCTGTGCTAAATTTTACATATTCACTGGGTTTTAATTTAGCGCATTTTCCAGTCAGCGAAATTAAAACCCAGTGAATAATTAACTCTTTTACAGTACCTTACTTTACCAATATTTCTATAATAAGACACTAGAACAATATTTGAAAAACCATGAAACTTTTAATATAGGTCTAAAATAAAACTAGCAGCAAGTGCTGGAGACTCTTAAAAACATCTTACAATACACTTACGAAAAAACTTTGAAGGGGTAGAGGGCCAGCCAATTATACAAATTCCAATTTCAGCACTGCCTGGCTGAAACTTTTTCCAAAGCGCGATACAAGCAATGAATCTAACAAATTATGGGCTAGCAGGAAACTTTTTTGTCTTGAGTGAAAATTGAGCACATTTTATACGGATGCTCATAAATGCTAAAACGTCAAAATGCCTACATACAAAAATAGGTTGTTGGTCCTGAAAATAAACAGACTCCACTTCTAAGCCTAATGCACAAGTTCCATTTGATAGAAAGTAGACAACACTTTAATGAAAACTGATAAATATATTAAATAACTTTACAGAGCAGAAGTTGTAGCAACTAATAATTATAACGATATAATATGTTCTGCACAAGTATAGTTTCTCATTTATGCCCTCAACGATATCTGATGATAATTCCTTTGTTCAATACAAAACGAGAGGAAACTACAAGTTGTTAGATCTGATAAATTCACACATAATCTACAGCAATGCGAAAGAACCATGATTCTGGAGAAAATTTCCAAATGCAGCCATCAGACCCAATTGAGTCAGTGTTCATAAAAACCCTGAAAACACAAACTAATATTGATTTACAACAGTATGCCACTTAAAAAAAAAATCATGAAAAAATTAAATATCAACAATGGATGGCAGTTGAACAGTACAAACTGCCATTAAGCAGTAATGAAAGGAACGATTTTTTAAACCAATTTATCAAATGCACTACATTAGAATAAAAGTTCTTTACAGTTGTTCCTGTAAATCACTGCACACAGAACCATTTATTGCGCTTGTCATTTTAAGTTCGTCTTGATGTTCCTACAAAAAAGATTACATTTAAACTGGGCAGCAGAGTGCTATACGAGTTGACATTTCCATGGCAAGAAATTTTGAACGTTTCCTTGGCAGAAAAATATAAAGTCTTGAACCATGCCAACGAAAAGTTTTTAGCCCTGAATTTCCAACAAAATCACAACCAAATTTTGTTCAAAATCGTCAAAAATTAAAGTACACTCTGACCATACTTGTTAGAAAGATTTGTTCAAGCCCAAAACAAGACTGACAATAGGCATTTGATTGTTTAAAAGCATAGTGATAAAATAATACAATACAAGAGTAATATATAAAGTAGTAAAAAGAAAATGACTGTTTAATTGGTCACTTTTTTAAAACTTAGATCAAAGCTTTGTATAGACAAACATATTTTACAAGGGATGGTGAAGACTATTCTTGGCAGGATTTTGTCATTAGTCAATGTCCATCTGAAGAAAAAGGAAAAAATACAATCAGTTAATTTCATGTATAATATTGAAGAAAATGTGATTAATGTAATATGCGAGTACAGACTGTACCAACCATTAAATATTTGTACATTTTTAATTTTGTAATTTTTGAGAAATTAAAAACATACAAACAATTAGTGTTTCATTCATGCATATACAGAGGTGTATATTTCGACCAGTTGATTTTTGGTGGCTCAGGGTTGAAAAAGTATCCGAGTGTAGGACTGGCCTTGTGTAAACTAAGAGGAATCCCTTACCTTTGCATTATAAGCGTCTAACTGTGCGTCAAGTTCTTCAGCTGTGACAACTTTGCGTGAACCGCCACCACCACCACCGCCACCACGACCCCCTCGTCCTGGAGCTCCGCCTCTCCTTCGCCCCCTCTGGCCACCTCTAGAACTGCCCCTCCTTGTTCTAAATTAAAAAGTATAATATTACAAACAGGTATGTAACTCGTCGATGGCAATATCTTGGCATTAATAAGAGAATTGTATTGAGTGTCTACCAACACGACTTTGTATCGTCTGAGCCAGTATTTTTTTGAATTTCTCAATCTTATTTTCAAACATTATTCTGATCCAACTGCCTTATTTATGGATACCACACTGAACAAATTGGTAAAACATAAATTGTAAAATCTTCTGCCATCTTGGAAATGCAGCATAATTGTTCTATATTTCTGATGTACAGTATAGAGGAAATACAGTAGTATTTCAAATGCAAACTTTACTCACCCTACGAACCCACCACCTCCGCCACTAGCTCCTCGTCCTGTCGACGGCCGTCTCTGGAACTGTTCAACCTCTGTTGCCGACGTCACAAGTTGAATATTCATCGCTCGACCTAAAAAACAAGAAAACTTGATTTAGCCCAATGAACAGTAACACAATTAAAATTAGAATTAGATATTCACTAATTGTCTAATAACACTGTATGGCAATACAGTGTTTCTCCTCTGAAAAATTGCATACAGTATCTACTGTATTTATTGTTGTACTAAATCTGTTCTATTGTTCATCCAAAATTTAACTGTTGGGAATCCCTACTGTATATTGGCCTTGGGAGAACCCTGGGCAATATATTCAGTATTTTTTTCACAAATGGAACCCTCAGTGTTTCCCTAAGGAATTCAAACCAATAGCAATTTTTGAAAATAATTTGCAAAAATCATAAAAAACAAAAATTTGAATGAATAACATACATAACACATACATACATAATGCACAAATTCAATTCAAATTAAACGAATGCCTGTGGTATAAAATTTTCACTTACTTTTTAGTAAGGGAAGAAGACGACAAGTAATCTTTCGATCTAAAGGCAACCTATTATACCTCAAAGCACAACTTCTCATCCCTCAATCTGATTATGAATAATCATGCACAGTTTTCTACTACAAATAAAGATGCATTTATCATTTACACAACAGGTAGATTTTATAAGCTAATTCGTGACACTCACCATCTAAAGGCACATTGTTATACTGTTTCATGGCTTTTATAGCATCATTTTTCTTCTCAAATATTACATCTGCTGTTCCCAAACTTCTTCCTGACCGGTCATAGTGCACTGCTGCCCTTTTAAGATTGCCAAAGTCAGCAAATAACTCCTAAAGAGAAAAAACGATGAAAAAGATGAAGATATACAAGATGCATTTATTTCATGCCTCATGCAAAAACCAATGATTCTACTTCTACAATATCAGCCACACTCGTTTGACACCATGTTCTTCTTAATTTCTTCTTTTTTATCCTGTAACAAAATACCACCATAATTGCTCCACTAAAAGTAAGATGTGTCCAGTCATAGTTTAATGATCCAGCTCACAGTACATGCAATTTTTGGTTTATACAAGATTCTAATACAGAAAATACTATGATCTATAAACAGATGAATGTGGGTCAGTCAAGGGACAGTCACTTTTTATGTACAATTTATGAGAACTGTGTGCAGTCCAACAGGAGAATATATATTAATTACGAGATTGGTTGGTTGTTCATAAAAAGTCTTTTGATCAGCTGATACACTCAATATTTTATCCTCATCTGTTTACAGCTAAAGAAACTTGTGCGAGATTTGTTGAAAAACGCATTGTAATGTGTAATATAGAGAAAGTCTCCAATACCATCTACATTTCAGGGTGTGCCTTAGTGACATACCTGTATATCAGCATCAGATACTCCAAAATCTAAATTTGACACTAGTAGTTTTCCTTGTTGTGATTGTCCATCTCTGGATATCAGAGCTCTCCCACCAACACCAAGCCCAACGCCGCCATCAAACATGTCATGTTCCCACGAGTCTGGAAGTTCCTTCGGCTGGGGAGAAAAAAAAAAGCGATTCAGTAATTAAAATTGGGAAAATAGGTCAACTACTGTGCATTTGAAGTACTAATAACAACCAGAGATTTGCATTGATGACAAGCCAATACATGCAACACAATAAGGATTTGAGTAATGCAACATAGTTTCACTAAAAATGTCCAGTTTAAAAGAGGTCATCAATAGATACTTCAATACTTTGCATTGCTTTATTCAAATGACCTGTACTCGGTATTCATTTAAAGACAATGGTAGCGTACAAAACCCCCAATCTAAAATTACATTCCATACAGACAATCGTGTGTAATGAAGTAAATATTTGAAGTGAATAGAAATATCACAGGTGGGTCATTTCCACAAGCGCTGACGGAAGCAGAATCCCTATCCTAACGTCAACCACGCGTCAAATAGAATAAAACTATCCATTTTTTCAAAACAAAGGTGTGCTTGAAAATGACCTCGAGGAATGATTTCACCTCGATAATAGCGCGAAAAAAATTTCACATTGCTCTGTAGTAGTGTTACTCACCCTAGAATAAGGTGTTGGTCTGTTTCTGCCCGCTCCCCTTTGTTGAGTTCTTCTTACTGGCCCACCGCGACCTCCAGCACCGCGTCCCCCACGAAACTGCCGTGCTCCGCCTCGTGAACCACCTCCCCGACCACCGCGTCCTCTGCCTCTCCCGGTAGGTTTGTTCAACTTAATGATGTCGTCAAGGCTCATATCAATTTTATCGCCCATGGTTGTTGTACTTTCGGATGTTCGCAGAGGAGAGAGAAAAATACACACGAGGACGCCGAATGAAAATAAAATGGCGGTCTAGTAGCAGTGCATGACGGTTATGACACTGCCCCCTCGTATCGACCCCAGATAAACCGTTTGTTTTCACAGGTCATTGGCTGTCCATTTAGCACATTGATTAGCGCAATCAGTCTTACAGTTGAACTACGTGCTTATCGACCGTGAACTTCCATCGCCATCATATTTAACACCTCAGTGACTGTTTTACGAAGTTTAGACTTATAGCTTTCTAACTTCGTGAACAAGTCAAACAAAAGAAAAGAAACACCATGTGAGGTAAACAGTGAGAAGTGAGCCAAGTTCTTATCAACCGATTTACAGCAGGGCTCGGATGGGGGCGTGTTGGTCACTCTCCCATTACCGCGTTTAACATGTAATACACTTTTCTGTTAATATACATATTATCCACATTAATGTCTGTTTTTTGTTGTTGTTCTTCTTTTTACTGAGTTTTGCGAAACGCAAATTTTCCATATATGAGAATTAAATTTTGCGCGCACCAGCGCCAATTACACTATACCAACCATTCCATTCGTTATTTATTCACCAGACCATATGGCAAGCCGCATTGCAAGGGGCATTTGAAGGAGACGCAGTACCAAACCAAACAATCAAAGAAAGCTTAGAAAGAACTCCCATGTGCTGAGAGTATTGGAGACACATTAAATATAATTCGAAATTACTTAGCTGAAAACTAATTATGCAAATCAGAAAATTAATATGACCAGATTTGAGTGTAAAACTAATGAGGTCTGCACAATGTAACAGAAAATCTATGTCTCCAAGTTTAATTGAAATGTGATTAGAACCAAAAAATTATGAATTATTATGCTTATTAGGGAATTAATATGAACAGATTTTTACCCCAAACTAATTAGGTTTGTACATTGTCCTAG